CCGCCATGTGATTGGCTGATTAGAAATTAAGTGTTAACGAGCAGTTGGACAGGTGTACCTAATAAAGTGGCCGGTGAGTGTATGTTTATTCAAACCATAAAAAAACTAATACTAGAACTAATAAAAACTAAACTAAAACTAAGCATTAAAAATGCAATAATAACTAATAAAAACTAGCAAATCCACTGTAAAAACTAATCAAAGCTAACTGAATTAAAAGAGAAAAAGTCAAAATGAAATAAAACTAAACTATAATGAAAAATGCAAAACTATTATAACCTTGGGACAAATTCAGTTTAATACTTGATAACGTTTGGTCACTGAAGTTTTTGTGAGGACATTTCTATTTATTTTGAAGTTATATTCTGTCACTAAGACAAATCAGCGTAGAAACACGTTTGGGTATAAAATGGCTTCAATTCATTTTGTTCTAAAAAATAAAATAACCGTAATCGTGAATTTTAAAATTGATCAAATGAATGGAATCGGGGCTCGAGTGAATCGTTAAACTATCATCATCATCATCACACTCTTTTTAAAAATGCGTCTGTGTCGGGGGCGCAGCAGTAAGAAGCTCTAAAGTTAAATGTAAAATGAATAAACAAACACRACCCCCCCTCCTTCATGTGTCATGTCTGCAGGGTCATCTGCTGAAAGAAGGCCTGGCCTGGTTGGACTCTCAGGCAGCCGGGGAGGCTCAGTACTGGCTGCCGGCGCTCTTCTCAGAGCTGACCTCTCGTGAYGTCACGCCGGAGGAGGCCAATCAGATGACTCCCTGAGATGTCGGGAGAGGATTTGGACCGGAGACTTGAAACAAAACGTGCCTGRACGAGGACAGAATGAGCACATTTCTCACAGAACCTCTGCTGGAGGAGTTCAGTCGAGTTTTGTTTTTAACGGGTGAACTGGGGAAGAAGCTTCAACGTTCCAAACCCTTCCTYGTGTGATTAACTTTGAAAGAAAACTCTTGCATCAGTTCTGTTGAGATGAGTTTTTATTAGTCAGCACATTTGGTTGAATGTGTTTAAAATGAATCAGAACTAACGGCTCAGAATATATTTTCAAATTGTCGTAATTTTTTCTTTTGAAGCAATAAAGTGCAAAATACTAACTTATTCATGTTACTTTTTAAAAATCTAAATTAATCTACTTTAACGTTGATTTTGCAGAAGCTTTGAATGAAAGGTTTTGTTGGGCGGACTGATGTTTTCTCAGGTTTTTAGCTTAAAACTTTGACAGTGAGACCTTTTGCGGGGCAGTATTTTCTGAGTAGGTCAGGGTTTGAAGGCCGCACTGAGAAAAACCATTAAGGTCAAGTTATTTTCCTTTGAAATGCTGTCATTTTTATAAAAACAGCTGTAAAAGAAGTTTCAGTAATCTTTAAAAGCATCTAACTATTTACACGTTTGATGACGTCGCCTTGCAGATTAAAAAAGCCAAACTTTACAGCATTAAAGTTGATTTATTGTGGTTAAAATGAAGAGAGGAAATATAGGAAAAAGGATGGAGGTCAAATGATAAACAGCTAATTAAGAAAACAAACATTTAAATGATTAACTTTGTTGGCATTTTTGAGTTAACAGAAGCTCAGAAATAGAATAAATATCTCAATTATTCAGAGTTACAGTTTTCCATATAAGTTTGTGATGCATTTCAAAATAAAGCCAATTTTAGGTTTTTCTAAGAACCTAAAGCAAATATATGGTAGAAACTGTGAGCCACAGGTTTAACTTAATTAAAATTAGCTTTAAAATGAGTAAAATAAAAGCTTCAGCCCATAGCCTGAACAAACTGTAGGTGTTTTGAAACATTCAACCTTTAAATGATGTTTGCTGGGAYGGATCATGTAACTGGAGAACCAAAGCAGTTTTGTATAAAAGTCAGTGACCCTCTGCCCGTCCTGTAAGCCGGCGCCTTCACAGCTCGTGCCCGTAGACGTGGTCCTCGAACACGGACTGCTCCATGTTGTCGCAGATCATGGTGCAGAAGGGGCACACTCGGTGACTCTGCTCGTGCTGCTCCAGCTCGTCCCTGGTTATTCCCGGGAATCTCTCCTGGCAGTGGCGGCACACCAGCGGCGGCTGGGGACAGAAACGGAGAGGACGCGTTACGAGCGGTAACAGAATAAGACGGGCAGGAGGGGGGATTATGTTTTAAACCCACTTTAAAAATAAACGTCAAACAGCTGAGTGACTGATGTAAACAGAGATCATGTGAGCAGAGGATGATTTTCTCAGAGATGCCTTCAGGGTCACACCTTCAGCACTGGTTTGAGTCACTAAATACTTTTTAAACTAGCTCAGCACACACTTCCTTTTCTTAAAGGAGACATTTTGTGCTTTTAAATCCTTTTTCCACATTTAAACCTTTTCAGTTGGGGTCTATATAAAGAGGAACTGCTCCTTATTGTAACTCCACAAGCCCCTCTTTCACCCTTTTTCTGAGGTGTGTCTCAGATCGGCTCATTTTGGGGCTGTCTCTTTAAAACCAAACAAGACGCTTCACACCCCGCCCCCCATCCAGCTTCCAAAGAGGTTTGATAGAGGGGTTTATGACTATATAGCTGCACAGAAACATTTTATTGACAAATTAAGTAGTAAAAGTAAAATCTTTACACAACTTTTCTGCACTCCTGGAGACTCCAAGTTCAACAAAATGTATTTGACGGCTAAATAAAAGTGGATTTTGATTATGTCCACTTCAAAATCTAACCACTTCTGCACTCTTTAGTTTTAAAACGTCCCGTCCAATCATTTTTTTTTTACTTTTCAAAATATTTGATTTTATTTACCAACATTTTCTCCATAGAAACACAATGAAATCTAACTCAGCATACTGGCTTTACTTTTGCTTTCTTATTGTTTTGTATTTCTGCTACTGTTAGCTAAAACATTTAAACTGTGGAAGGGAAATGATCTTACTCACCTCCTCTTCTGGTATCTGCAAAGACTCTGCAAGAAATGGAAAATAAAGTTACTGTAGCGTAAAAATATTTTTACACCGTCACTCTGAAACTGAAAACACAACTTAAACACAACAGCTCAATCTGCTTTCACTTTTAGACCACGTTTAAACCACGTTTAACCCAATTTTAGCTTCAAAATTTACCAGTTTAGAAACATTTTAAACCAAAAAGCTAAATTTTTGTCATGAAACTTAAAATTTTACAAAATACATTAATTCTGTTTGAACATTCAGAAATGTTAGATTGTCAACTTAAGCTAGTCGACAGGTTCCCTCATCTCCACACTTTTGGCCACGCCCCTCAGTGTCTCTTGGCACCGCCCACTTCGTTGCAACTTTTCAAATTTGCCCGGGGGCGGGGTTAGTTGCACTTTATTGATTCTCCTCACCTATGGTGTCATAAATATGCTCCTCTTGTCCTTGTGAACTCTGCTGGTTGCCTGAAGTGTCGGTGACTGGTGCGACGATGTCGGGCTGCACGTAGGGTGACTCTGCCGAGGCGGCGGCAGCTGCTGTAGCACCAACACTTTCATCGAGGCGCGTGTAAACCGTGCGCAGCCTCTCAATGTCATCTTTGAGTTTCTAATAAACACATTTCAGGTGTCAGAAAAACAAAACTCACAGATGTTTGGACATTCACTCGGTTTAATTTGTACCTGGTTTTCTTTAATGAGCTCCTGGTTCTCTCGGTTAACGAGCACAATCTGTTGTTCTTTCTCTTCCATGATAATGTCCTTATCTGCCAAGTATTTGTTCATGTCTGTGACTAGAAACTGAGAAAAACAAAAGAAAACAAAACTATTACACCAAAAGCATTTTGTAAAACCCACAATAAACTTCTGCAAACATTTCTYTCTCAAACAGAAAAACTCAAGTCAAAGAAATCAAATATAAAGTAAAAACAGTTTCTAAAACAGTTTCAAAATGAACATCACAGCCACACGTGGAATTATATGTAGCTAATATGCAGAYATTTTGACTCCATTCAGCCACRCAATTTCACRGTCAGTTTCCCAAATTTGTGGCAACACAACTCTGTAACAAATGTTTTTACTAGGTATTTAAAAGTACTTATTTTCTTAAGGATAAAAGATATTCGTGTGCAAAACAGGGAATCTTTAAAAAGAGAATTAAAAAGAAGTTTTTCTTTTGTAAAATAAAAATGCTTTACAATTAAACTCAATATCAAATATGTCTCATAAACATTAAACCTATAAACAGTGACAATTTGTGCACACATGCCTGTTGTAAAGGATCTAAGCTCATTTTTACTTCTGTTTTACCAGAGCCCCTCCTTGTTTACAGTAGCTGCGTGTCCATTGCAAATGTGGACAAAACTTTGTCAATATTCCCTTAATGTCGAAAACACACAGTTTCACAACTGCGGTGTTTCCATTAAGTAAGAAATGCTATTAAAGTCACGCGTGAATACGTTTATTCTCACGATAAGTCATTACAAACATGGCAGCAATGGATGTAAACACATAGCATGTTGCTACCATGACACTAGCGCTCATCATCAGAGGAGACGTCGGGGTCTTTTATCGAGGCTTTTCAGCGACGAGTCCCTACATGGGAGCGGCTACGTATGCTGTGTTTTTGGGAAATTGTAGTTGGTGAGTTTACTATTTTATTTTACTACTTCTGTGATATTACTACTGCTTCTACTTCCTGTTATCTTCTTCGTCGTCGTCTTTTTCACCAGTAGAAACAGCCGGTTGTTGATCACGTGACTCCCGTGATGCGAAAAAAGTGTTTCCATTGCAGTTTTGCGAAAAACACAAATTTCGTTACGGCCGAAAAACCACCTCATCCTAGCGCAAAAACATTTTGTGGAAAAACATAATTTTTTTCGAAATTGTCGTGTTTCCATTGAGCAAATTTATTTTCGAAATTCTAATTTGCACATTTTCATGGTCAATGGAAACGCAGCTAGTGTTTTATCAAAAATGGATGAAGCTTTTTCCTTTTTTCTAAAGGAATACCTGATTCTGCACACAGCAACAGAATCTTGGATAAACTCTCGCTTCACTTYTACTGATGGAGCTGAATGATGAAGAGTTTGCAGGCGTGTCTGACGCATGCTTTCCTTCTCCTCTGTTTCTGCYGCGAGTCAGACAGGAATTGGTCGTCACATGTAGCTGTATTCTGCCCTAAACTTTACATTAAGCTTCATATTTTGGAGGACGCTGGTGTTCGTCACGGCTGAGGGCTTTTCCTTCTGCGTGGATAGAGCTCACCCCGCTGAGCTCGTAACCAGTTAACGGCAGGTACAGAGGGCGGCGGCGGCCAAAATACCTCAAAAACTAGCCCAAACGAGCAAATTCCATGAGATTCCGTGTTTTATATCGGATTCCATTTTGTTTGTTRAATCCTGTGATTCCGTCCACAGTCCTACAAATACACTTGTATTAAAAAGCGTAGTGATTTTGATCAGCTTCACCTCATATTTGCTCCTTTGCCGGTTCTCCTGATTGCAGGCTGTGGCCACGTTTCTCAGCTGCTCTTTGACGTCCTTCARCTCATTTTCAAAAGCCTCGGCTTGTCTCCTGGCGGCCCTGACCTCCTCCCTCTCAGCCGCCAGCTTGTTCTKGGTCTCCTGCAGCTGCCTGGTGAGATTCTGACACTGCACCTGGAGAGGACGCCTCGTTAGCTTTTAAATCTATTCGTGTGCATTTATCTTTCCATTATTTTTTTTACTGAAGCTGTTCAAACCTTCAGGTCGTCCTGTGGCAGCCTCTGCGTGGCCTCCTGCTCCGACAGCCTCCTGCTCAGCTCCTGGTTCTCTCTCTTCACCTCGTCCATGCTGCCCGTGAAGCTTTGCAGCCTCTGCAGCTCGGAGGYGACTCTCTCCTTGTCTTTGACGCTGCTCTGAAGGTCCACCTGAACCGAGCGAAGCTCTTATTTAAACAGACCAGCTACCAGAGGTTACAGTGACGTAACTCAAACAAACAGTAGCAGAACTTTGGTTTTTTTAACCGTTTCCTGGTTGATTTACTCAGTGAAGTAATTTACCTGCAGGAGCTGGAATCTGTCGTTTGTAMTGGACAGCTCTCGCTCCATTTCTCTGAGTTTAGCTTTCAGCCTGAAACACACAAATTACGATATTAGAGGACAAATATAAAGCTGTGGAGCTGATTGAGCTCAGGTGTATTTTATGCATAAATGGAGAAATAAGGGTAAATATTTTAGTTTTCCAGTCTCCTGTTCTTCATCACTTCTCTAGGAAATGACAACATTTGGTTTTTGGTGCTTTAAAGCGCCTGTGACACACCTATCCTTCAAAAACAAAAGTCAAAGAAAGTATCTTTATACTTAAGAAATTTGGCATAGATAGCCATGATTTTACCCATTTTGTCACATAACTGGTATATTTTCTTTTGAATTTGGCTCAGTCAAAGTGAAACAGGAAGTGACATCAAAGGGGAGCTCATTAATAAAATTAATTCTGTTTTTTGTTCATTAAAACAACATTATTTGAAGGTTTCATCTTTTTGATAGACTCAAATAATAGAAATAAACGTCAGATTCTTCTCTACAGTCTGTGTTGTTAGCTTTTGTAACAACGCTCTGTTTACATGCAGGCATTCCCCTTTGACATCACTTCCTGTTTCTTCACATGCAAATTTCTCAACAACCGTTCATCTCAGTGGCRTGAAATTTGTTTTGCAACATGTTATCAATGTTATCTTTCCAAAAATGCATTCATGTTTATTACAAAAATCTGATGTGACAGGCCCTTTAAGTCAAAGATTAAACTGGGATCTATCCATTTGTCTCCTAAATGAGGCAGATTTTTAATTACTTGGGAATCTCGTCACTTTGAGCTTCAAGCTTCATTCTCAGCTCCTCGCGTTCTTCTTTCAGCTGATTGACCTTCATCACAGCTCGATCATATTTCTCCTGCAGAAACACTGGATCATTAGACAGGACTTCGGGCTTTAAGCGCTGATTTTAAAATACATTTACCTCGTTTGTTTTTGACGAAACAAGGTTTTGACTCTGTTGCTCTGTCTCCATCTGCCTGGTCAGCTGGATCACCATCTCCTCCTGGCAGCAACATCGAAATTAGGCTTTTACACCAATGAAGACGTTCAGATTTCACTGCAAAATGAGGACAAACCTTCAAGCGGTCATTCTCCTTCAGYTGCAGCTGCAGAGTGTGCTTTAATTTCTCATTGTGCTCCTTGATCTGATCCAGCTCTTTGACCATTTTGGTCTGTTCCGTCTCTCTCGCTTCATTCTGCCTCTGAACAAATCAAACACCGCGTGTCAACTTATCAGAGCACAAGTCAACTTTTCRCCCAGACTCTGCAGAAATTCTTAAACTGAGATAAGATATACCTGGAGGGAGAGGCTTTCCTTCTGTTCCTCCTGCAGAGCGCTCCTCAAGTTCTCGTTTTCTGCTCTCAGCTGATCCAGTTCTTTCTGCAGTTCCTCCTTTTCGCGCTGGCTCTGCTCAACTTGGTCCTGAGATTGAACAAATGTTACGTAAATTAAAAAACATCTTTCACAAGAGGCAGGCGGAACCCCCACAGTCAAACATTTACTTAAGAACAAATAAAACAAGTCATGAAATCAAACAGAAAGGCTTCTTTTTATATGGAAGTTCTGAGCTACAGCTGACACATTAATGCTGCAACATCTAATTATTTTAATTATTTCACTCACTGATTAGTATTTCTACAATATTAGTGTATTTTATTTTTAATCATATTTTATATTTGTATTCTTTATTTACTAATAAACTCCACAAACAAAGAAATGTCAGAGCTGCTTCAGTATGAGAAAATAAAAATAATCAGGATTATTAATAACAATTTGCACTTTCCTTCCTAATGAACTTCTGCTAAAAATAACCAATTTGTTCCTACGTAGGCAGCTAAATAAAACAAACAAATAAATAAAATCACAACTCTAAACTGTAAGGTTCTATTAAAGTGCCTGTGACATGAATTTTTTTAAATAAATATAAAGGCATTATTGGGAAGATAACATCAATAACGTATTGCAAAAATAAATTCCTGCTGCTGAGGTGAACAGTTGTTGAGATATTTGCATTTGAAGTAACAGGAAGTGATGTCAAAGGGGAATGTCTGCATGGATTAGAGCATTGATAAAATGGCTAAGGACACAGAATGTAGCGAAGAATCGGGTTTCTTTAGATTATTTTGAGGAGATGAAGAGGAGTCAGAGTTCAAATAATATAATTTCAATAAACAAAGACCAAGGAGTTTATTTTACTAAAGAGTTTCCCTTTGATGTYACTTCCTGTTTCACTTTAGCTGGTCCAAGTTTAAAAGAAAATATGCAATTCATGTGACCAAATGGGTAAAAATAACATTTTATGCAAGGTTTCTTATATAAAAATGTTTTTTTTATTTTATATTGATGGATAGGCATGTCACAGGCACTTTAAATCTGCTTATGTATATTCTTTAAACTTCATGCTTTTCAATGCATTTTTTCCACCTAAAATGTTTTTTATTATGTGATGGATTAATGAGAAAATATCTCCAACTACTGGAATCAACTGTCTGYTAACAAAATRTTTCATGAACTGCTGGACAGATTTGAATGATATGACATTATATTCAGTTCTGGCCCATAACAGGTCCTTACTTTAACTCTTTTTTTTTAATTTATAAGATTTAATGGTGGAAACTGGAGCAGGTTTCAGACTCAGCTGATACTTTTTGTGTATTTGRTACCTGTGTTGTGATAACCAGCAGGTCATCCTCCAAGCTGCTCTCCGTGTTTTGCTCGGCTGGGTTTGTGAAGCGGAAGGGAGTGCTGGCTCCTCTCACCTGCCCAGAACTGTCAATGTAGCAGAACTGGTAGAACTCGACCTCGTCTTTCGGCAGGTAGTATTCTGACGAGGAGAGAAACCAACGGCTTCAAAGTGAAATCTGATCGTCAATCCTCAGGTATTTGGGTTATTTGAGCTTGTTTTTCAGAGGTTTCCCTCAGTCATTTCTGAAGGGCTTTCAGCTCCTTCCACAAATATTAAACAAAATTCAGATCAGGGGTCAGATTTATAAAAGATTGTGYGGAAACCACACTAAAAGTGAACGTACGGCCAAAAGGTGAAAATGGCGTACGCCAAAAATAATTCAGATTTATAAAACCATGCGTAYGAATCTTTCTGCGCACCTTTCCTTTATAGATCACAGCTTCACGTCAGAGTTTGCGCACAAGGTCCGGCCTCAGGTTCTACCCTCTACACGCCCACACTCAACCATAAACAGTCAATGCAAAGTTCCTCATGAATGTTAAGATGTATTTAAATCAGTCAGCTGATCAATGCCAAAAAAAGCGATTGGTTCAGACACGCTCCGTCATGAGTCTGTAGGATGACAGGTGCTGACAGCTGCTCACGTGAACGGATTATCTGTAATTGACACAGATTTTCCCTCATTTTGCAGGTTTACAGATGCTTAGAGTAATCTAACAATTTTTTTAAATCAAAAACTCAGCTTCAAATTAATGTTCTCTCAGAGCCTGCAGGACGATAAAACAATAAATAAAATGAAATAAGTCAGATAAAGTTAGAAATAAGTTCACCGCTCTTCTCCCCCCATCCTCTTCCTCCTGCCTGCTCTGTTATCTGCAGCTGATCGTCTCCTCACACATCCCCACAGYCCTGCGCAGTGAGAAATATGGACTTTAAAAAGTGAACTTTTTATAACATCCACACTGGCGAGGGTGGGCGCGCCCTGTGAGTACCCAAGCGTGACTTTTGCTGTCRTTCTGTTGAAATGTCTCTTGTCGGGGAGGGGTCTGTGGGTCAGGGTCGTCTGAGGAGGAAGAAGATGGATGGAGATGCGTGAACTTTTATTTAAGATTTAAGTTTTTTTATTTCAAAGGTCCTTATGGCTCAGCAGCAGAAGCATAAATTACACTGTTAAGAAAGCTAAAGTCTATCTAAAATCTAAGCCTGATTATGAAGTGAAATTAAATATCTGACAGTGATCATTATACAGTGCGGCTCTAATTCCTCACTTCACCGAGTCGCAGTTGCCCATCTCCAAAATAAGCGTACACATGGGTCAGAGCTGGCGGTGAGGCACCGCACATTTTCACGTCAAGTTTGGATTTTATAAATCACAACCTTTGCGTGAAAAGTGGCGTACGCACCTTTCTGGGCTTGTTTTGTGCGTACCCAAGCTTTAGAAATCCGACCCCTGGACTCAGACGGCTACTTCAGAACAGTCCAATGTTTTGTTCTGAACCACTCTCTGGTGTTTTTAACTGTAATTATTCTGTTGGAGGAACAAAGAGCTGCGAGTGAGACCCAGCTTTCTGACACTGAGCGGCACATTTTGCTCCAGAATGCCTTTATAGGCTTGAGATTTCRTTGCACMCTGCACAGATTCAAGACATCSTGTGTCAGATGCAGAACAGAACCCAGCCTCTTCCATGTTTCACTGCAGATCCAGTGAAACGGAGAACTGATGGGACTTGATGGCAAAAAGCTCTGTTGTCGCTTTCAACAATGTTCAATCAGTAATAGATAATGCAATCAGACTCCGATGTACTTTAACAGCGAAGTTCACCTCAAATCTTAACTTGACTGTTAAGTTAATCATTTGTTAATTTATATTTTTGAATATAGCTCTAGTTCAGTGGCTCTCAAAGTTTGATCTTGAAGCATCCAGGAATTAATTACATTAATTACATTTAAAAATGACAATTGTTTTTCTTCTTAGTTGTTACAAAAGAGTAGGTAAAAGTGGATGAAATTATCTTAATAAATATTGTTTATGATACCAATGTTTAAAAGTTGGAGGCACAGGTCTCTGCTGCTGCTACTTTGTTGGTCAAAAGCTGAAACGTTTGGAAACCATGGCTCTTGTTTAACTTTTTTTAAAGGCCAAAGTAACAGATTACTTGTGTTAATTTGTCATGTAAATAAAAGACATGTGTCCTTCCTGGCCAGACACAGATAAACTAGTTGTAAAAATAGGATTTACCAGTATTTATATTTCACAAGACCTTGGAGGGGGAAAAACAGATTTTAAGATAACCATGCACACATAGTTGACACATAAGACAGATGAGTGTACAGGACAAACAAACCTTTGAACACAGCTTGTCTCATGGTCTGTTGTCCCTCTGCATCTTGGATGGTCTCCACCCACACAAAGGTATGATAATCCTTTGTTGAGGTCCACCCCACCTACAAAATAATACTTTTAGGGCTCTTCTTTTTTTTAGATAATAAAAGTTTAAAAAGACATCCTTTATAGTGAGTCTGCCCACCTTGAAGATGCCCACCCAGTCCCTGGAGCTGGGTTGGAAGGCAGCGTTCAGGGTGAAGCGGCAGATGATGGGTGCTGAAAGCGGGTAGGAGTACTGGGTGTCGGTGAAGACCACCTGGGAGAAGGTGGAGGATGCGAGGTCAGCTGCTGCCGCCTCTTTGCGGGTCTCCATGCTGCTCTGAGCTGCCAAGAAACAGGCGAGCTGTCAYCATGAGCCTGACTGATGACAGCAGGTGGCCCCAGGGTCGTGTTACACAACAAACCAGTGCCGGTGACGTTAGCTTAAATCTCCCTGTTGTTGTTTGTGTTTTTGCGCATTTAATYTTGGTTTCACTTCTTTCAGAAAACATATTACTCGTCAGGAACACATTCAAACATAACTTCAACCCCAGAACAAAACAGTAACATTTTAAAATAAGTAAATCGTTAGAACATTAGCACATTTCGAGATTCAATTGTGATCAACTAAACCATTTATCTGAAAGCAACTTTTTTTTTTGTAAAAACGAAAGTAAAGCACAAACTACAGTAGACGACGAAAAGACATTTTGATACATCAAAAATGATAACATTTTTAACTAGCGTTAACTTCACACACACACATGTAATAAAAGTATTCGTCAACCTGAAAACAATAAACTTACATTTATCGTCGCAGTTTCGAGATTCGCTGTTTTCCTCTGSCGAGAGTGAGCAAAGGTGCGTTCAATGCTCCTCGGAAACGAGCAACTCCGCTACAAAAAACGCTGACACGTCGCGCACGTGAGAAGATAAAAAGTAATTTTAAACGTATTTTAAAAAATAGAAACAACAGAACAAATTAAAACACATACAGGCATAAAATAATATAAGTAAGTGAAATATAGCTTATTGCTGAATCATAAATTTTTGATTTTTGATTATCCTGAAACGAGCAAAAGCTAACTGCATTATGGGAATTGTAGTCCTATTTTTAAAGTGTTTTTCTTTTTTATTTAGTTTCATTATCAGTCACTAGGGGGAGCCAAACTCTTTTCGGAACCAAATCAATTAAAGCCTATAATATCCATAATACAGTATATAACCCATGATATCTAAATATGACAATATAATACATTATTGTCCATCCATCCATCCATCCATCCAACCATCCATCCACCCATCCATCCATCATCTATACCCGCTTATTCCTTCAGGGTCACGGGGGTCACTGCTGCCCATATCCAGCAGTCACAGTGCGAGGGGCGGGGTACACCCTGGACAGGTCACAAGTCCATCACAGGTACATTATTATRGTGTTGTTATTTTAACTTTTGTTTACAAGCAGCAAAAATCTAAACAAATGCAGAAAAAATACATATTTTGTTACATTTTATAGATTTTCTGAAAATTTTACCCAGAATTCTTATAGTATTTGGAAAACATTATTGGTGACAATGTTTATAACAGGTTTCAAAATAATAAATTTCAAAACATCATGTACATTTTATGTACCCTGTTCTTGTTTGTGTACTTTTACTTTTTATAATCAGCTCATCCAATTCAGCACCATGTGTTGTGATGCAAAAAGATGTTTTTATTATTCCGTTTTTACCATCTACTATTTATAGTGTGTGTGTGTGTGTGTGTGTGTGTGTGTGTGTGTGCGTGCGTGCGTGTGTGCGCACGCACACACACACACACGTACAGACCAAAAGTCTGGACACACATTCTCATTCAAAGAGTTTTCTTTATTTTCAGGACTATGAAAAGTGTAGATTCACACTGAAGGCATCAAAACTATGAATTAACACGTGAAATAATACGTAACAAAAAAGTGTTATATTTTAGGTTCTACAAAGTAGCCACCTTTTGCTTTGACTACTGCTTCACACACTCTTGGCATGAGTACTGTACTGTATGTATTTATATATATCCTCAACACACATCCTCATTTCTGGCTCTGGAAACCTTCAAAATCCTCTTGCTGTCATCTTTGACATCATTTAAAAAGGAAAAAAGTACAATAATGTGTTTAAAATCCAGTCTTTTACAACATAAATATGTCTGCATACAAAAGTAGTTTTTTGGGCACAAAAGAAATCAATTATGATGGTCAGTCAATATTTCATTTGCATTTTCATCAACAAACACACAAACAAAAATGATATTTAAAATATCCAAAGTAAATTCATTTATGTATAATGCTTGTAATTGTAATTAATTTACTGATCAAAAACTTTTATAAAAGAAAGGTCCACTCATTACTTCCTCATCAACCAATCAGAGGTGAGAACTCTTACAACCCGACATATGATTGGCTGCAACCTCTGCAGAGGCGGGGCTCGGGCGCGCGTGTGTCAGATTGATTCATGTGTGTTRGTTCTGCCCACAGCCTGCTTCGTGAGTCCAGCAGCACAAAAACATCACAGAAAACTGCTCTCAACCAACGGTAAGTTACGTCCCGCTTTCGACATGTTTTTCATTTTGTTTTTGCCGCTGAGGAGTGCACTTTAGTCAGTGGCTAGTGCTAAGAGTTAGCTTAAAGCTGGGAGAGGTCGGCATTCTGTGACCATGGTAACCGTGCAGCACGTGCGTGAGAGGGTCAGCTGAGCGATCAGTTTACTACAGGTTGTTTTCTTTAAATAATAAGACTTTTACCCAACCTGAACRCAAATGTTTATTGAGAAACATTTAGCTATGACCACTGGACTGATAAAACWGTCCAAATTAATTCAGAAAACTCAAATTGCTGTACATGATTTTCGTTGTTTTTACAGTAAAGTAACTGTATTTGCAAGAGTACTTTACTGTAGAAACTGTTTACAATAAGCTACTGTAAAGTTTGTTGTTTTTACGTCAATATTACTGTATTGTCAACAGTAATGTGTATTTGTTTATACAGTACTGTTGATTTGCAATGCATCATGGGGGTTTTCTCCACAGTAACTACTGTATTTTGTTTACAGTAGTTTTAATGTAAAATAAAATACAGGAACTTACTGTATTTAGTTTTAACAGTAATTTTACTGTGAAAGAAAATACAATAACTACTTTATGTTTTTTTTACAGTAAAACTACTCTAAAAAATACAGTAAGTTACTGGATAAAAATTGCCAGGAAGTTACTGTAATAAAATTAATAAATTGTTTACAGTGTATTTAGGCTTGTTTTTTATATAAATTTATCATCTTATAACCAATAAAATAGAAATAAAAAGCAACAACAGTTATGCACATGCTTTATATAAAAGCCCTGTGGAAATTAATAAAATGATTATAAGCTGCCCCACATTTTATTAATATATTATTTTGAGGACTAATTAATACTTTTTTCTTCCACATAAACATTAAAATGATAAATTATTAGAGATGAAATTACATGTTTAAAGTATAAGGTTCGCAGTGATTATGGCAAAAGCTCCTTCCACTTTTCTGCTCCCTCAGCCTGAATCTACTGCAGAAAGACTTGAAGCTGAAGGAGTTTGCCTCTTGTAATATTTTAGGGCCATTCTTATTCAGTTTGTAGCCTACGTAATACATTTGTTTGTAAATGTTTTAACCGATTTTGTACTTTATTTTAGTCCTTTTTATGGGTGTTTCTTGTTTTTCGATTATAGTTTAATATTTGTAGTTTTTGAATTTTGTATTGTCTGTGTGCTGCTGCTGTTCTTGGCCAGGTCTCTCTTGAAAAAGAGATATTTAACCTCAATGAGATCTACCTGGTTAAATAAAGGTTAAATAAAATAAAAATAAAAAAGAGCGCTTAGAATTGTGAAGTAGAATTATTTGATTCTTCAGAGGTAATAGTCTTCCTCAGCCTGGTTTTACAGCTTTTATTTGTTTAAAAAAGTCATGCTCTAGACTTGTAAGCTTGGAGTGTTTGTAAATATTTTATTTTAGGTAAACCATCTGACCACAAAGAGAACAAAACACAGAGGGCTACAAATGAATAGACACAAGCAACCTGATCACGCAAATAATGATAAAAAAAAAACATTAAATGAACAAAAAGATTTAATAAATGTGAATAGMTGTTTAAACAAAACAATGTGAGACAAGATAAACAAGATGTCCTTAAAGAAGACGCAAAAAGGCCAAATTACAACAAAGGGATGCAAAAAATAGTTAATAAGAGAAACAAAAGAGTTTGTGTTGGCTACAAACAGCTAAAATAAATCTATAAAAATAAACATAAATAAACCCAGAGGAGCCAAAGAGATGTAAAAGTACCACGTTATATGAAATTATATGGACCAAAACAAAATGAAACTCATTTTAAACRTATAAATGTAAACCAGCCATAGTGAGGCATTAATCAGCCACAAAGAGACACAAGAGGTGCAAAACGACCATAAAGAGACAAACGCTGTCGCAAAACGACTGCAGGGAGTAAAAACAACCTGTGTGAGGTCCAAAATTACCACAGAAGATGCTAAAGTAATGAGATGCAAAGAGGCCCAAAAGAAAAGAACCGGTTAAAAAAAATCCAGCAAATGAACTCAGAGATTCACAAAATCTGCCTCAAACAGACACAAAAGGACTTTAAAGAGACTCGAACAGCTATAAAGAAAAGCAGAATTAACAGAAATGGGCACAAATTGACTTAGAAGAGACATAAATGCAACAAAAACACATTTAACATAATCAGCAGCTGAAACAACCCAAACCTTTGAAAAAAGGCAGGAAATTGAAGATCTGTTGTTAGTCTGTTTGTTTGTCYGTTGAAAATGACTGCATTTTAGTCATTTTGGTGTTTGCTAAGCTGTGTCGGCCATCTTGAACTAAGTTTTTGCAGGGTTCGAGTTTACACTCAAGTTTTTGAGCTGCATATAAGAAATATACTTATACAATTTTATAATTATTATATATTATTTATACAATATACTTACTGATAGTATACAAACTTACTTACATACTGAATCTAGACCATTTACTCTTAGGCTCAACATAAATGTTATTATTTTTGTGGGTTTCCTCAGCTTTTTCAGCCAGTCCTCTGGTTTCAGTGGGTCAGGAGCAATAGTGATAAGTTGTTGTAATTTAAAACCCAAGATCRGTTCTATATTATTTTTCCAAACGTGGGTGTGGTTTGCCTCTCTGTCCCCACAACCCCCCCCCCCAACAAATCGAAGCTTTAGAACTTAGTTACAAGTAATAAAAAACACACTAAATGTTTCCAACTGAATTCTCACCATAGGTTGATACAATATTGTCCCATAGYTCATGATATTTTACTGTTCAGTTCTTTCTGTATTTAAATATCTGTTGTGTTTTCTTTAACTGTCAGCAAACGCTGATAAAGTTTAGAAATGATAGATTGATACTGTTTAGAATCAGGACTAATTAAATTATCTCGTTAGGCTCTGAAGTACATGTGTTCGAAGTGTTTAAAAATATTATTTTTGTTGTAGAGTTTGGAAACTTGGTAAGGTATTCCTGTCTAGTTTGACCGGTTTTAAACTTAAATCAATTTGCTACAAAAGCTTTTTCATAAAACTGAGTGAACAATTTGCATTTCCATCAGTAAATATTTATAACTCTTTCTCTGCTTCAGGAAACTGCTCTTGACCTAATTTATTGAGACAATAGTTTTCACACACACACACACACTTTGCTTCTCACTTCAGCTAATAACCACGCTGGAAGCATAGCTCCAGAYCTCGAAGCTATCGAAGACTAGAGCGTATAAGATGTCAGCTACTGATTAATTAATTTGGACTGATTGATTAATCAGAGTCATATCAGCTCCGCTTTGTCGCATAACCAGATTCCTCTTCTTTCACCTCAKTGTCACTCAGGTCTCTGAGTTTAGCCAGGAGGAAGCAGAAGTGACAGAAATCCTGTTTGTTGACTTTCCTCTCCTGTTTGTCCAACTCTGTTTAATGTTTAATGTCCTCCAGCAGAGGGTCAAGCTTCAGGCCCCTGCAGTGCTTTCCAGCTCCGATTTGAATTCAACAACTCCTCTCTTATTTCAGTGAACAAGTCTCAGGGATTATCCCTCTCTTCTTACTTCTGCTGAGGTCCGCTGCTTCTTTTCTCTCCATCATGTCATGAAGTATCGGGTTTATCTAATCGGTCACCAGATCCACGGTTCAGGTGCCACCTGAGCCACCCTTATGATGAAAACAAAAAGCAAATCGTTGTGTTTTTGTTGTTTTAAGGCGCCAGAAGCAGACGACGCACGGAGGAGARCTGATTCAGACAGGAAGCTGCTTCATCACCTCCTTCATAAATGTAGCCTCAACAGAACAGGTGAATGAGAGATCGCCCTCTAACAAAGGTTTCCACCTCTCTCTGTGGTCACTGTTGAAGCTGAAGGTGTYTTTTAGGTCCTACAAAACAAACAATTCAGAAAGCTTGGTTTAAATTGCTTAAAATGTTAAAATATTTTTCACAAAAATCAGACACTGTGTTGAGGTGACATTGTTCAAAGACATAAAAGTTGTTTTTTAAGCACGTGTTGTGGCAACGCTGAAGGAGAACCCGTTTGTAACCGTCTCTGATCTGAGGTCAGTGGGRCGTCTCAGCTGAGCGTCAAGCTCACAGTTCAGGGGCAGGATTATCTGGATCACTGGATCAGAACACTGTCCCCCAGAACCAACACCCCCCACCTACCCACAGTAATCTGTAACAATCAGTACCACAAATTAACTGCACCCCACATTAACGTAGCATCCAGACACCGAGACGTTTGCCTCCCACTGTGTTCAGATCAGAGCACAAAGTTACCCGAGTAAATCCAGCTTCTGCGTCATGACTGGGGGTGGCARTGAGAACTGGACCACTGAGTAAACATGGGAACATTTCAGAGGCTAAATACTGTAGATCAGGGCTATTCAACTAAACTGCTCCGGGGGCCACAGTTACTGAAGGTCAACAGCTGAGGGGCCGAACATCCAGCAATTAAAG